GCACAGTTGCCACAGAGGTTAGTGTGTCCCATGGCAAGAACACGCTTGCCTTTACAGTATTTAGATATCAAATTATAGTCACTATCATTATTTTCAGTCATTTAGATACAGCGTATGTGTGAATATTCAGTTGATATTTCAATTTAGCAATACATTCACAGTGAAATTCAGCTTCCCTTGCTATGAAAATATAATGAAATGAATGGGGGAACATTTTCTTTTATTTTTTCTATTTTATTTTAAGTGAAGCAGTGTCATCAGGTATAAACAGAGCAGCACTTTAATAAGAATTGTGACAATTATGATTTTAGTTGAGACTACAGAAATGGAAAATGCATGTATAGTGTCTATCTTTAATTATGCATCTAGTGAATAAAAATAGTTGTTATTGTAAACTAAAACTCTTAAAAATAGTTTTCAGTAATTGGAATAATGCCGAAATAAAATATAAATCTGATAATGATGGAAAAACTATGCCTTCAAATTTTGCCCTGGCAACTATCTGAAATAAAATTAAGTTAAAGTACTAAAATTACTAAAAAATAACACAGAGATAAAAACAATTAAAGCTAATTAGAAATGTTTTTAAAATACAAAAACTACTACTAAAAATTAATAAACATCATCTAAGATTTAAATGACAAAATTAAAAGCTAATTCAAAATAATAATAAATACTATATTACTATGAAAAATAATACGAAAGTAACACTGAATAAAACTCATTTTATAATAGTTGTTAATGTGGCATAATTGCATCTCATCTGCATCCTGTGCTTTATGGGACATCTTTACCACCGAAGGCTAAAATTGCTGTACTTTCCCCCCTCAAACCTACTTTAATATACTCTTAAAATAGGTTTATAACTATAATGACGAAACAAGCTTTATTGTCAGTTTAGTTGTTTGGTGCCTAGATGTCAGAAATATTTTGCGTCACTCAGCTCCTCTACAATAGAAACATTCATTATAAACAGATGAAATTGTGGGTGTTTAATGTTATTGTTTTCCAGGCTGTCGCAGTTCTCACAGCAACATATCCAGTGGGTCATATGCCATATGGATGGCTCACTGAACTCAGAGCTGTTTACCCTGCTTTTGACAAGGTAAATGTTGTTGTTTTACCTTAAACTAACACTTTTTTCATCCTTAATCATACAGTTCTCTGAATGCTTAATACTAATCATCCTCCACATATATACTTAAGTTAAAATGACAGCTTTCCATCTTCTCCTCCCAGTATCCTGCCTGAAAGATCAGGAAAAGGAGTCAGTGTGGTTTATTTGCTTTTTATTTATACCACACTGTCTAACTTTGTCTCATACCTTTAAGGGATGACAAAATTAGTTTATATCTTCCACCTTTTCTGTGTGCTAATACTGCAGTGTCTATTATCTTGTTCTACTTCATGACAAAGCAATTATTTTTGGGGGGTAAATAGAGTGGGTTCATGGAGACAGAGCTGCAGCTAGAGTCCCAGAGACTGTAATTAAAAAAGGCGCACAGTAGTGTGCTGTTATTTATGGATGTTTGGATCCACAAAAGGATCAGCAGGATCCACAATTAGGAAGTTTTCAGGAAGTGAGGGGACATTCTCTGGCCACAGGTGTCTGGCCAACTGTAGTTAATAATTTTATGGATGAAGATGATATATATTACCGTTCAAAAGTTTGGGGTCTGTAATATATTTTTAATGCTTTAGAAAGAAGTGTCTTATACTCGCCAAGGCTGCATTTATTTGATCAAAAATATAGTCAAACCTGTAACATTGTGAAATGTTATTATTATTTAAAATTTTCTTTTCTATTTTAATATGTTTTCAAATTTAATTTATTCCTGTGATGGTAAAGTCGAATTTTAAGCCCCCATTACTCCAGTCTTCAGTGTCACATGATCCTCAGAAATCATTGTAATATGCTGATTTGATGCTCAAGAAAGATTTCTTATTATTATCAATGTTGAAAACAGTTGTGCTGCATTTATTCAGGATTCTTTGATGAACAACATTTATTTAAAATATATATTTTTTTGTAACATGAATGTTTTACTGTCACTTTTGATCAATTTAATGCATTTATTGCTTTCTTTAAAAAATTTTTTTGATGATATGCAGAGTCTAAATGCTCAAAACTTATCCTGAAAAAGAAATGAACTACTTTCTTGACATCTGCTCTTTGTGTTTGTTCTTATTTTCCAGAATAACCCAAGCAACAAGTTGGCCAACAGTGGTACAGTTGTGACAAAGTCCGACATCAAGCGCTTCACTTTTGTTTGTTTGGCTCTTTCTATAACGGTAAGTTCATCCAAATTCTCCTCTGTCGCCATCTGGCTTCAATAACACTTGTTTCATATTTTTGGTAACAGCGGTTACTGAAGTTCAGCGAGTTCAAAGGTGCTGTATGAGTTTATTGTGACCGTGGGCCGTGGTCATATTCTTTGTTCAGCCAATCAGGAGGAGGAGGTTTCTATCTACATTAACATTTACATTTATTCATTTGGAAGACGCTTTTATCCAAAGCAACTTACAGTTGAGGAATATAACAGGTGATTTAAGTCGTAGCAGCCCATATATGAAAAGCAGGAAGATAAAAGCGTGGTAGATAGAGCTTGCTGTACTACTTTTGGTTTGAATCTTAATTTGTGACCGTTAACAAAGTATGTGTTCCATACATTATGAATATGGGTAGTATGAGTGCTGTTGCTTAAGTCCCACTTACAACTTCTTCCTTAGGTCTACATGTATAGTATTTAAACCCACACTAGCTTAATTTGTTCACATTAAATTAAGCTACTAAACACGTTGTTGTAAAGCCATAAGGAGCGCATTAAGATAGTGTGTCTTGTTATTGTGAGTGCTTTTAGAGTCCGGCTAAATGATTAATTGATGCGCTCTGCCTCGGTAACAGGGTCAGACCTTCCCTTCCTGACCTAGATTAAAGCCTTCATGGTATTACACTACAGCTATCATTTTTATGCCATAATTTCACCTCTCTGTCAGCGATATGGAGGAAAGATTATGATTGTATGAGTCCGTGTCACTCATATAACAAGGCTTCTGTTTACTCTCTTACTTAAACAATATATAGTTTTGCCCAGATGTTCTCCTCTTCAATAAAATGTTGCATGAATGAACTGCTACGGATGAATACTGTGGTTTCTTTGCTTTTTAATTAATCACTCAAAGCCATCGAGATTCTGTGTTAACATTTTGCTTTGTAAAAGCTGGAAACCCTCAGGACTTGATTGTAAATGATGTATCATTGATGGTTGGTTTGTGTTATTGATGTTAAGAGGTTGCAGCAAGTGTTGAGTTCTTGTGCTACCATGTCTGGTCATGCGTATCTGTGCACACACTTCCCATTTCAGTGCTGTTAGCCATATTTCAAAGACGTTTCTCCACTCAGTCACTGTAGATATAAACAGTTATGAGTGTAAATGATAGTGTTTTGATAGCTCTGTGAACAGGGTGAGTATAATATGCTTGCTTACATGTGATCTGAATCTAAAATCAACATGTATACTATGATATTATATTCCACTAGTTAACCAGGAAAACCAAAGTGCCATTTCACAGAAATAACCAGAATAGCCTATTTTTTGTTTACCCTGTTTCTTGTTAACTGCATTATATTTTACTATGATTTATTTTACTTTACTTTACTTTACTTTTACTTTGTTTGGATAGCTCCATTCAGGTAGTGTGTCTTTCTCTGTGCAGCTCTGTTTTGTGGTGTTCTGGGCACCACACATTTCTGAGAGGATCCTGGTGGACATCATTGGTGTAGATCATGCCTTTGCTGAGCTGTGTGTCATCCCATTACGAATTTTCTCCTTCTTTCCCATTCCAGGTATTGCACTTTAAGTCAATTTACATAAAAACAAACATTCTTTATTATTTTTTTTTGGGGGGGGGGGCATATGTACTGTATGCTTATTTTAGCATCCAGTAGAAAGTACATAGAAAGTACAGTTTTCACAAATAATATTTCACTCTTAATGAAATCAGAAAAGCATAATCAAAATAGCAAAAATATTTAATAAAGTCGTAAGACACAGGACATACACTGTTGTTTAAAACGTTTGGGGTTGGTTTTTGTTCACCAAGGCTGTATTTATTTTTACAGTAATAAAATAGTCATTTTTATTTAAAATAAATGTTTTCTATTTTAATATCTTAAAATGTAATTTATTCCTGTGATGGCAAAGCTGAGTTTTCAGAATCCATTGCTCCAGTCTTCAGTGTCACATAATCTTTCAGAAATCATTATAATATGCTGATTTGCTACTCAAGAGTCATTTCTTCTTATTATTAATGTTGAAAATGTTGTGCTGATTAATATTTGAAACTGATTTTCTTTTATTTTTCTTTGAAAATTCCAAAAACAGCATTTTTTTTAAATAGACATTTTTGTTGCATTTTAAATTTGCATTTACATTTAGTCATTTAGCAGATGCTTTTATCCAAAGCGACTTACAAATGAGGACAAAGGAAGCAATCAAAATCAACAAAAGAGCAATGATATACAAGTGCTATAATACACATGGCAAGGTTTATATAATAAATAAAAAGAAAACCGATAGAATAGAAAAAGAATAGAGCAAGCTAGTGTTAGAGGCCTCTTTTTTTGCTTTTTGTTAATTGTATAATAAATAAAAAGAAAACAAATAGAATATGATAAAAGAACAGAGAAGCGAGTGGGTAACACTTTACAATAAGGTTCCATTAGTTAATGTTAGTTAATGTATTAACTAACATGAACAAACAATGAAAAATACATTTATTACAGTATTTATTAATCTTTGTTAATGTTAGTTAATGAAAATACAGTTGTTCATAGTTAGTTCATGTTAATTCACAGCGCATTAACTAATGTTAACAAGCACGACCTTTGATTTTAATAATGCAGTAGTAACTGTTGAAATTAACATTAACTAAGATTAATAAATGCTGTAGAAGTATTGTTCATGCTTAGTTCATGTTAACTAAAGTAGTTAACTAATGTTAACTACAGAACCTTATTGTAAAGTGTTACCAGCGAGTGTTATTTTTTTAAAGAAAACAAGTAGTTAGTAAATGAATAAGTGCAAGTCTAATATTCATTCTAAATTCATTTTAAATGTCTACTGTCACTTTTGATCAAATTAATGTGTCCTTGTAGTAGTCTATATTGAACTTTGTGAATGTCCCATGTTCTAATTCTGTGGAAATCTGCGGACCTTTCTGCAAAGTTCTGTCGCTGCACATTCTCAAAAATGCATGATTCAAGTTCTGATGTGCAGTGCATTATCAAATGGACAGATGGTCTTAGGTTGCTCTTTGAAAATGCCTTTTGAAAAGTCAAAGGTCAAGAGTGGTCATGCTTCACTTACAATGCCTCAAGGCCTACAGAAACTGAGAGAGAAAGAACCACAATGTATTTAATTTAACCATCCAATTTAATTGCACTTCACTTTTATGATATAACAGTACTATAGCAATGAGTGGGATGTAAAATATGTTTTCACATGATTGCTTGAGACCAGCTTTGCATGTACTGTTTTTTATCCTCAGTGACGATTCGTGCTCACCTGACTGGTTGGCTCATGACCCTGAAGAAGACCTTTGTCCTGGCGCCCAGCTCTGTCCTCCGCATCATTGTCCTCATTACCAGTCTCATAGTGCTGCCTTACATGGGGTAAGTGTGTTGTGCTTGACTGTACTCACTACTCGCATATAGGTCATTAGTCGTTGTACTTCAGTGCATCAAATTGTATAATAAAATCCGTTAGACTGAATTTAAAAGCTTTCTGTGCTTCAATTTGTGCAGGGTACATGGAGCCACACTTGGTGTTGGATCCCTGCTGGCTGGTTTCCTTGGGGAGTCTACTATGGTTGCAATCGCAGCATGTTATGTCTACCGAAAACAGGTACGATAACACAGAAGCCTGTAGGTTTTTTCTTATGATAAAACTGCTTTCTGTTTGATGTGAATACAACAAAAGGGCATTAACAATATAATCAAGCACCTTTTAACAATACATCAGTGTAATGCTGTGGCAACTCCACAGATATGAATCTACAAACATGTTCATTTCAATAGTATATTGTATATTTTAAGCGTAAGCACATACAGGAGAGTGAGGGTAGTTATTTCAATAACTATAAGGTCTTGAGTCAAAAGTCCAGTTACATAAATGTGCTTTCTCTATCAGGGGTTTTGTATGCCGGTTTCAAAGTTCAATATTTCAGTCTTCCAAACTAAACTTTTTTTAAACACAATAAAAAACACTGACATATAAGGCAAGGGTCAACTATATTATGAAGGTAGATTTTATTAACCTAAATGTTGAACTGTGTTCTTAGAACAAATATTTTTTACCCCCATATATTTCAGTTTGAGATCAATTTGTCTATTTATATGGGGCAGATTGTCATATATTTTAATTGCTGTAATTTTATACAATTCATTAAATAGTGTAGCTGTCTGTCTGTTAAAGCAATGGTTTTTATACACTACTGTTCAAAAATTTGGGGTTAGTATGATTTTTTTTAAAGAAATTGATTCATTTATTCAGCAAAGATTCATTAATTTGATAATACATGACAGTAAGGACATTGATGATGTTACAAAAGATTTCTATTTCAAGAAATGCTGTTCTTTATTTCTCTATTCATGAAAGAATCCTGATTAAATGTTTCACATTTTACAGTTTTCAGCATTGATAATAAGAAATGTTTCTTGAGCACCAATTTAGCATGTGAACACTAAATATTTTGCCATCACATGAATACATTGCATTTTAAAATATATTAAAATAGAAACCAGTTATTTTAAGTTGAAATAATATTTTACAATCTTACTGTATTTTTGATCAAATAAATGCAGCCCTGGTAAACATAAGAGAAAAAGTTTAAATAAATAAATATTTGTAAACTTTTAAACAGCAGTGCACGTTACACTTTACATTTTAGTTATTTCATGAAATTTAACTGAAATCCCATTAAATTGTATGATTTCACAACTCCATATAATGTGACAACACGCCCCACTTTTCAATTTTAATTTTACAAGCTCCACCACACATATTTTATTGAAAAACCTTTGCAAATCATTCTTTCTTAAACTATTCCACTTCAGTATAACAAATTATGTAATAATGGCTTTTATGAATGATTTAACCAATATTTGTTTGGTCTGTGTTTCATA